TTTAAAAAAAAAAAAAAAAAAAAAAAACAATGCTTATTGTGGGGAGTTTAAAAAGATAAAACCAAAACATTCCACTATGATCGTATGAAAAAATGGGCAAAAAGTCTTTGGAGTTAAAATAATCATGGACCCTAATATTTGGGGGGAAAGGGTAAAGACATCGAATAATTTCAGATTTTATGTTTGTTAGAATTTTTTTTTTTTTTTTTAAAGATGACCGGTAAGGGGATCTTAACCCTTGACTTGGTGTTGTCAGCACCACGCTCACCCAGTGACCAACCAGCCATCCCTATATGGGATCCGAACCCGTGGCCTTGGTGTTATCAGCACCACACTCTCCCGAGTGAGCCACGGGCCGGCCCTGTATACAGTTTTTAATAGACAATAATATAAACTAATCAAACAAGATTTAACTCAATCTGAAATAAACAAATCTGCCAAGTACCTAGGTACTTTGAGAAGAAAAGTAAATAAAACAACAAAGACGTTCAGAAGAAATAACTTGACGACTTTAAAGACTCATTTAACAGTTAAACTTTCAGATATAAGAGCTTTTATAAATTGTTTTTCCCTTTTGTCATAGCTGACCACATGAAACCACCAAGTTTTTTTTTTTAAATCATACACATGAGCATGGGAAATTACAACTTTTGTCTTTCCAAATGGTCTTGAGATTTTAATCTGTTTGTAAAATTTGTGTCTGAAAATCTAATGTGTTCTCTTTTTATATAACAAGGTCAATATGAAAACACAGAAGTACCTACCTTTACTGGAAACTTCAACTGGTTGTATACTTCTGAAACAAGGAGATTGTGGCTAAGCGTCTTTCTCATCTTCATAATTCGAACAATTGCAGCATCAATTTGATATTGTCTGTCTTGAAATACTCTTTCTGTAGTGCTTGCTTGTTCCTCAACCTAACGGAAAAGTTTTAAACTTGAGAACTGTACCTGAAGTGAAACTTGATTACTTACACAAACTGTACATTTTAGGGACATGATACTGTTATTGCTTTAAATGTACTGAATTCTCTAAATGGGCCCTTATAAATACAGATGACAGAAAAACAAACAAAAACTTATAAACATAATTCCTTTCTGTTCCGATTATATTGCCCTGTACCAATGAAGTAACATTGATACTAGCAAATAGAAAAACACCATCTTTAAATTACTTTTCTAGGAGTAGAGATGTTTGACATGTAATTTACCATTTTCTTTTACTCTGTTCTTGGTATCTCCTAAAGGTGCACATCAGTTACAACGGGATGTTGACAAGATTTCTGTATGACAATAGCTTATCTATAAGACTGACTCTGATCTCTGACTCAAAGCATGGTACTGACTAGCTAAGCAAAACAGTTATTAGAATCTAACTCTTTGAAAATTAATTTTATTTTGCAATATATAAATCAGAAATGTATACCATTAGTGCTCACATTCCTTAAAGACTTAAAAAAATTTTGGTGTTTAGGAGTCTATTTACCAAATCTTGTTAATCTTTAGTAACTAAACCAAAATAAATAGTTTGGGCTTTTTACAGCAGTTTCTTTCTGGCACAGCATAAGTATCTTAAAAGTAAGGACACGGTAATCGTTTAAGGGATTATCGTGCCTTTGATGTGTATGTGAAAAAGACAAGAACTTGTTTGAAGATACTGACCCCTATCGCACATTAAAACTTTTTCTCAAGTATTGCATTAAACCTTGTTGGAATTGGAACCAACCAGTTCCAGGATGCTGCAGTTGGTTTCCTTAATAAAAGTTTCTTACACATTCAAATGACAGGGCTAGCTGGTTAACTCTATTGGTTAGAGTATGGAGTTATAACACCAAGATCAAGGGTTCAGATCCCCATACTGGCCAGGTACCAAAAAACAAAATTCAAATAACAAAACAAACATTCACCTTACTGCTAATCAAAGAAGAACTAACTAAATCATTCAGATTTTTCACCAAGCCAGCAAGTTTTAAAAAAGAAAATGTAATCTTTAGTGCTTGTGAGGGCACAGTAAGACAGGTACTCATATGCTGCTGGAGAGAATATGCACTGGTCCAGCCTTTCTGGAACACAATATGGCATTATGTACTAAGATTCTTAAAATGATCACGCCCTTTGACCACAAAAATCTACTTCCATGAATTTATCATAAGGGAAGAATCAGAGAGATTAAGATTTAGGTACAAAGATGTTTCTTGAAGTTTTATTATAATACCAAGAAGTCATGAATTTAATTGCCCAACAATGAACAATGGTTGAATAAATTATAATAGCTATGTAAAAGAATATTGTGCAGCCACTTGTCATTTCCGAAAATATTTAATGGCATGGAAAAATTCTATAGATATTTTTTAATATCTATATAATATAATTCTATTAATATTCTATTGAATATTAACTGGAAAAAAGCAGGATATAAAACTATGTTGAATATCAACCCAATCATGTGCACTCCCCATAAAAAAACCCAAAATCAAATACTGAAATACATTTAGCTGGATATAGATAGGCACAGAGCACGTTAATGGTAGTACCACTACCATTATGGGTATAAAATCTTCTTTATAAATTATTATAAACACATATAATTACTGTGCATTCTTAGGACTAGGAGAAAGCAATAGAAATACCGTTTCTTTCATCTGGATTTGATTGATCTTTATCCTGAAAAGTTTGTGTTTGAAATCATCATTACAAATGAACTTGTCACCGTCTTCGATATCTTTGCCCTTTGGATTTTTTGCCAGAACTCTAGCTTTGCCACAGGCTAATGACTGCAGAGTTCTCCTTAATTCTCCATCCTCTGAAGAAGAAACAGCAGTTTAGTTATTTGTTACTAGCCCATCAGCACGAACAGCTACACAACCTCAATCATCAGCATGAACAGCTAGCTACATTCAACCTCAATCTAGCTTCCACCCCATCCCTCTATTAAAACTGTTTCTTTTTTCCCCAAGGTTCTGACTTCCTCTTTGTCCTATCCAATGGCTTTTTTCCTAGTCATCTTCTTTTTTTTTTGGTGTCCGGCAACAGATCGCAACCCTCAGTGTCGCGCCCGTACCGGACCGGGACCGGCAACGGGATCGCAAACCTTGGTGCTGCGCCTGCACCTCGCTCAGCCAGTGAGCGGGAACCGGTCTGTATGTGGGATCCGAACCCTCAGCGGGAGCACCGCCACGCTCCCAAGCGGTGCACTGTAGCAGTGCGCCACCGGGCCAGCCCTTCCTAGTCATCTTCTAAAGGTGTCAATTATCATTCCATGTGGATAACTACCAAATCTTTTGAAATGACATTTCACTTCTCTCCAGTACCACGTTTAAAGGATACTTCCAGCTGACTGTCTTACTATCAACTCTAGCAGGTCCAAAATTTTACTCATCATCTTCCCCAAAAAACTGTGTTCTTGTCTCAATTGTTAGTGGTGAGAAACCCTGGAATCATCATCTTTAACTTTTCTGCCTCCTTCACTTTCCCTGTATCTAGTAGTTGCTTCCTTAGAGGTGCCCCTTCTTCATTATCACTGGCCTCATTCTAGGTTAAGCCCCTTATCACTTTATGCTGAATGATCCCAATAGCTTCTGGACTGGAATCTCATCATCCTCCAAGTTGCCCTATATACTGACTCCAGGCAAGTTGTCCAAATAAGTTACTTCCATTACATCACAAATTTGAGACCCTACAATGTAGGTTTCATTTGTTAGGTTTCTATCAGGATCTCCACGATCAGGACCTACCCATCTCACCTAATTTTGTAGCTCACTGTTCTATGCTCCAATTAAGCTCTTCATGATTCCTGCCCACACTGTACCCATTCCTACCTCCCAGCCTTTTCTCACAGTATTTCCCCTTGCTGCATATGCCTTCTCCCTGACCAAAACCTGAAGGCCCAGATTAAATTCCACTTTCTTCTTGAGGGCTTTCCCAGTCGTGTCAGTCCACAGTGATCTCTTGCTATGCTGAACTCCTAACACACTTCTAGTGAGCACCACAGACCAGTATTTACTGGCTCTGAAATGATCTCGAGTGTCATTTCCCCCTTTCCCATGGTTATATTAAAAGTACTAAGGAGAGGGATTATTCCTTTGTATCCCCCAGAGCTCTTAACATAGTGGTGTGCACACAGCGGACACTTAATAACGCTTGCTAATCGACTGATTCAACACAAACCTATTCCGGTAGCCTGCTTGATCTCTTCTAAACTGAATTCCTCTCCCTCATTAAACATTAGCAGCACCAGTGTTTGAAAGAGAGAGACCTGGAGTTCTTTTTTACCCTGTCGGAGAAATAGCAGTGTTTAGCCGTCATTTTTTTAAAAACGTGAAAAATTAATCAAATAATCTCTTATAGGAAAAACATTTTTCAATTAGTGGATTTAGAAACACAGATTAACATTATCCAGAAAAGCCACTTGAGGTGGTAATACAGTATGTTCACTGTAGGGTTTAGGTGTGATCCTACCTAAAATAGCAAGAAGGATTAGTTGACCTTTTAACAGGTCTTTTTTAAGCCTTATAATTAAAATAGAAAAACAAAGAAACAAAAATTAATATCTCAGCCCTATGTGTCATTACAGATATTCATCACAAGCTGCAAGAAATCACTATTTCAAATGCATTTTCTACTTGTTTGATTCAGATTAGTCATGAAAAGCTGCAGGAGTTTTTTGAAATTAGATATGGGCACTGTTCCCCTTAACTCCCACTCTATTCTCTAGCTCCCAGCAACAGGAAGATTTCTGTCAAGAAGTACCAGTGTGAATTCTGCATCCACAGGTGGGGAAAGAATGGAGGAAAGGGGTTATTGGTATTGGTTTTGCAGAAGGGCCAAATCAATTATGAAAAACACCGCAATCTTAAAATATATACATAGTTGTGACAAGCTATTGCTATTGTCATGCAGATAATCTAGGATACATTTATAAAACAACAGCTTAAACCTTCATGTTCAGAGGAATAACCTCAATGTTAAAGAAGAAGAAAATGACTACATTTTGGGAATATCCACTTACCTCTTTAAATTCTGCTTTTAGCACACAGTGTCCTAGAGTTGACTGCCACTGAAGTTTTCTGCCACTATGTTTACCTAGGTAAAATGTCTTGAAAATCTCCTGAAGTTTTACCATCTAAAATAAATAAAATAAGGCTTTATTTAAGCCCTGTACCCAACACCACATTTACCAATCATTACATTTACCTCATGTGTTATAACTTCTACAAGTTTTTTGTTTGTTTTTTGCAGCTAGCTGGTACACAGGGATTGAACCCTGGACCTTAGTGTTATCAGCACCACACACTAACCAACTGAGCCTACTGGCCAGCCCAATTTCTAAAAGGCTTAAATACTATCCAGTAGGCCCACCAATCACTTTGAAGTAAAGTAATGATTTCCCAATCACCAGATCTAATGGCATTTACTAGGCTTTATACTCTTTGATCTCTCTGCACCATTTAATCATCCCCTTTTTTGAAACATTCACCTCCAGTGGCTTTTGTGCCTCCCTACGATGCTGGTTCCTTTATCTCACTGTTGCTTCTGCATTGGTTTCCTTCACAGGTTCCTCTTCCTACCACTTGCCAAATATGAGCCTTTCCTAAAGTACTACCTCTGCCCTTTTTTCTTCCTGTTCTCCATATTCTCCTTCTTAATGAGGAAGATCTACTCCCTGGGCTTCCATGATCATCTCCATGAAGGATTCTCAATATCCATCTCTCTGGCCTCAACCCCTTTTCCAGGATTTAGTCCTGAGCTACACATTTTTCCAAGAGTTAGGATGGATTTACTCAAGCACCCATCATTCAGCAATCCCACCTCCAGGTGAAATACGAGCAAGAATTTTTGATAGCTAGGCAAAGTAATGGGTATAATCTGGGGAGATGAAAGAAGAGTCAGGGAAATTGACTCTTAACCCAGAAGCTTGGCATCATTAGCTATGTGCTCAACTGGACTTGGAAATATAAGTACAAGAGTAAAATATTAAAACAGTTAGCATTTGGTATTTGTGTGTTTACTGACATAGCTTTTAAAAGGTATCCATTTTTAAACAACAAGCAAAATAGAAGAGTCATGACTTCTATGACTATAACTCAGGTCCTAAACAGTAACTCTTACCTCTGGCGGTAAATGGACTTCCATAGGCACATATGTTGGCCAGTAACCCATTGTCAGGATATTCACAGTTAATTCAATATTCCCAGGTACATTCTGATTCTGCATATACTATAAGAAGATCAACATATACACTGAGATCTTAAAATAAAAGTACATACATTTCATGTCATAATAACGACCCAATTAAGTAGTTCCCCGTTATAAAATTACATGCAAATACTGACCATCTTTAAAATAAAAATAAAAGGCAACTATTAAGAGGACTTTAAATGAAGCCTAAAAGGGCACTAGAAAAGTACATAGATAGGTTAACATTTTGCTACAATAGCATACAGGGATCACATGACCTCATTATAGGCATTCAACTTAATTTCTCACATGCAGCTGGGCTATTATAGGATCTCTTCTCCATTCTTTCCCCCAATACCACCTGCAGTCCCCACCTTTGGAGACCCCTATGTGGCTTGAAACACCTTGCAGCAACCCCCATTCCTCACCCCACCAGCCAGCCCAAGTCTCCGATTTTTCACTTGCTCCACTGCCTGTTTGCAGGGGGTGACCTGAAGTGGGGAAGGAAGAAGAGGGGGAAAGGGCAAAGTAGATAAACCCCATTCTGTAGCTACTATAGGATCCATGATCCTACTGACCCTGATCTTTCTCTTGAGTCTTTCACTTTCATTTCCTACCTTAGTAATATAAAGAAGTCACTATTAAAACCCCAAGAGAGAAAAATCTAATTTACTATCCCTATCACCTATGTTCTTAAACATTTCAAAACTACTTTCTACGTACATCTTCAAAACTATGGGTCTAGCTTTTCATTCCCACTGTCCCCAAAGGCTTTACACAACCACTTTATCCTCTCCTATCTTCCCATTGCAAGCTCTGAACATGCAAATCACGAAGTGATTAGATGTTAGGGAAACCCCTCTTCCCACTATCTAGCTACAGCTCTTCTTGTGCTGACTTCAGTTCAATACATTTTATTTCTATTTTTGCAATATTTTTGGGTGCTTATTAAAACTGACTCCTAAAGTGGGTCATATATACTTACATTTCATTGATGATTTTTTTTCTCTACTGTGAATATCATCTAATTGCTATAAAGTATTTACAACAAATACATTTCTATTTATCCTCTTCGTACAAACCAAAGCAAGGAGATAACTAAATATATTTAAGTTTGAGGAATTATGTAAGAGTTTAACTCACTTTTACCTGTTTGAATTGAATCATGATGTCTTTAGAAAGTTCCATGTCTTTAAACATTCCTTCAAGTTTGCTGGTGAAAGCAGCTCCGCATTCTATTAAAGATGTTTGCACATTTATATTTTAAAGTGGTAAAAACAAAAAGTTTAACATGTGAAACATGAAACGTAAAACTTACTTTACCATGAAATATGATCTATAACTACTCATTAGAATAAAAAGAAATCCTTACCCCAAAGTGTATGCCCCACTAATTCAGAGTAAAACTCTTTAATCCTGTAGTAACCTTATCTACTATTTAGGCATAAGATAAACGGGAAATTTTCATATAAATAATAAAAAAAAAATGCTTTATTTTTAAAAAAGCACAACAGCTCTGGATATTTACAATAGGTTGGAAACCTCATGAGCTTGCTCAATTTATGTTTTTATTATACATACATACACTGATAAACAAAAGAGGCAACTGACTGAAAGAGCAAAAATTAAGCTAACATCTTCTCTCAGAAATCAAAGGAACAGAAAGAATGACAAACATACCATGTTTAAGTTTGGACAGCATTGATTTTTCAGCATCTACAGATGCACTTTTCCCAACTAACAGGCGCTTGGCTAAATCTTTCTTATAGAAGGCCTCAAAAACATCCTTGCCTATGTTAAATAAAAAATGTTAAAAGTCATAGTATTCCCAAAAAAAAAGTTCTGAAAAAATTGCTTTAAAGTGTTAATAAGTCACATCATTACTCCAAGTTATTTTTCTTTACACATTTTATCCAAGTTCGTTAAATGTAAGAAAATTAGAGGTCCATTTTGTGCCAGATATTTCTAAAGTTCTTTAGCGTGAAGAATTAAGACTGCATTAACTGTTCTTCAGAAAAGCTTTAGTCAACTGATAGCTTTAGCACAAATATTCAAGAGATTAAAACAAGAAGCAAAAGTCAAGACTCTTAACAGTGAAAAAGTTAAAGCACAAGACAAGTAACATTCCTCAAATATCCCCAATGAATTAAATACAGGGAATAAATACAATTTTAAATTTCTTTTTTTTTTTTTTTTTGTCTTTTTCCATGTCCGGCAACGGATCGCAACCCTCAGTGTCGCCCCCGTACCGGACCAGGACCAGCAACGGGATCGCAACCCTCGGTGTTGCCCCCGCGCCTCGCTCAGCCAGTGAGCGGGAACCGGTCTGTATGTGGGATCCGAACCCTCGGCGGGAGCGCCTCCGCGCTTCCCAAGCGGCGCACTAGCGCAGTGCGCCACCGGGCCGGCCCCCAATTTTAAATTTCTTTTTTTTTTTTTTTGTCTTTTTCCATGTCCGGCAACGGATCGCAACCCTCAGTGTCGCCCCCGTACCGGACCAGGACCAGCAACGGGATCGCAACCCTCGGTGTTGCCCCCGCGCCTCGCTCAGCCAGTGAGCGGGAACCGGTCTGTATGTGGGATCCGAACCCTCGGCGGGAGCGCCTCCGCGCTTCCCAAGCGGCGCACTAGCGCAGTGCGCCACCGGGCCGGCCCCCAATTTTAAATTTCTAACTCACAAATAAATACTCCCTCTAGGTTGAATATACTTTCTAGTTTCTCTGTTGAGTGCTTTGTTTTAAAAGAAAATATTAACACCAAGGTCCAGGGTTCAATTCCTGTAACCAGCCAGTCACGAAGTTAAAAAAAAAAAAAAAAGAGTGATAAATACTTACCATAGATAAATCTAAATATAATCATAATTTTATCCAACATTTTCTCAAGTTCTTCATCTGTAGCTTCTTTGTTGCCTGCACGAAGCTTTGAATCTACATACTTGGCTAAAATAGGGAAAAAGTATGTTGTTTAATGACCATGGATATCCATGAGGTACTGGGTACTATACATACTTAAATAGGAGTAAAATATACTGAGTTTTTCAGTGCTTCAGCAATATATGTGCATTTTTTAAAGTCTCCAAAGTCAGGGAGATTAAGTGACTTGTTCAGTGCCACAGAGCTAATAAACACCAGAGCCTGAACTCAAACCCAAGTCTTCTGACTCCAGATTAAATGAATTTTCCACTATACTGATGTTTATTAAAATAAAGTATGGGTACTCCATGGGAGAGGCTACATGTAGCCCTGTGTGGGGATAATCAAAGCCACTGAAAGACATGGAACATAGTGGGCTGGCTGGACAGCTCAACTGATTAGAGTGCCACCTTTTAAGACCGAGGTCAAGGGTTCAGATCCCTGTAACGGCCAGCCGCCAAAACACAAACAAAAAAAGACATGGGGTATCTTCTGGAGTGTCCATTTTACATTGATGATAAGCGATCTTAAATATTACTATTCTATCAAAATAAACCAGATACATTACAAAGTAGAAGGCAAAATTAGCAAAATTTTTAGGGATAAATAGTAGACAGACTTTAACAAAATTTCATCCTTTTGGCATAGGACCCTAGACCTTCTCAGGGTACCCCCTCCTCTAACATTAAAGGGTACTTGGGGGGAAAAACCCAAGAAGAACTGCAGTATATACCACACCCTTACACTAAATGGGCCCAGATTATTAGGTTTATTTTCATCCTGGACTTTCTTCTTTCTCACTGGCAAATGTAATTTTGTGCTGCCCTTTCTTATAGCCCTAAGTGTGGGCCTCTAGAAATAGCACCCTGCCCCATTTCTAAATCACTGTAGACTTGGAAAACAGATAACCAAGCCTATTATTAATAAAAGTAAGCAGGGTACAATATTGTTCCTTAGAATGAAAGCACATCCTGTTTGACATGTGAGCTTTGAGATGTTCTTTAGCTTGAAGGACTTTATTCCTTATATCCACGTTCTTAAAAACACTTTTCAGACTTGATATTAAAAGCTAAGCAACCCCAAATAAATGAGGTGTTAGTATATTACAACCTTGCCAAAATGTCAGATTGAGATTTTATGAATAAAAGATGAACATTAAGTAACTGGAAAAAGGACTAGAATAATACCTATAAGTTCAGCAGGTTTATTTGGTCTTTTGTTAATGAACGTTTCAAATGCTTCTTTCATGGCGTTGATAAATTTTTCATTCTTCAGAAAACAGATATCAATTATATGGTCAACCTTATCTTTAAAATCCAGCAATTCTTGAACCATGGTTTTATCTTTTTCAGGATTAATTACAATAGTGCTGCCAAAGGCCTAAAAACAAAAATTACCACTTTTTATTGGAATTGAATTATCTACAATGAAAACAATCCCAAAATCATATTTTAAATTGGCACATGAATTTACAGATCTTAAAAAATTAAAATAAAGCTATTTTTGAGGTGAGATAAAGAAAAAATTAAGCAATAAAACATCCAGACTGATATCACTCATCTATAATCACAAAAAAATAAGGAATGACTACTAGGTATACAATATCATAATGATATTATTAGAAACTTCTGGATCTTTTCAGTATTTTGAAAGATTAGCTTTGAATTTTTTGAAAATGGCAATCTGGCTTCAGCGTAAGAATGAAGGAAAGAAATTTTGGAGTCAAAGAGAGTCCTTTCCCTGCTTTAAGTGTTGAAGCTAGAAATCATGTCAGACATCAATCAGGTTTTATTGCTGATTTGCCACAAAGCTATCATTCTCAGGTTGATTGTTCCCAAAATTCTCATTTTTAAAAAAAATTTCAAAATTCCCTTTAAAAAAAATTAGATCTATCAAGAAATGCTTGCTCATACGTGCTCTGGGTGTGTAGTTATAAGCCATGAGAGACAAAAATCACAGGTAAATTGTTAATACCTTGATGTATTCAATCCACTGCTGCAAGAGAACCTGAACTCCACCTCGAACTCTACTGAAGAGCTGATACAGTAGAGATAAATCTTGAATTCGGTTTTCATCAAGGAGGTTATTTAAACCTGAATTTTCAGACATTTTTACATTAAAATAGTAAACAAAAAAAGTGAACAAAATGTCAGGTATTTTAATAAAATTTAACTTAAAATTATTATTGTGATACTGGTCTGAACTATGACTAGTCTGTATGAGTTGTAATGTAGAGATTTCCTTTGAATTAAACCCAAATAGACAATCACCTTTCTGGGTGAAAACTAAATATAGGACTGGCTGGTTAGCTCACATGATTAGAGCACAATGTTAAGGGTTCAGATCCTAATATGCGCCAGCCACCAAAAAAACAAAAACAAAAGCAAAAGCAAAACCAAAAAAACTAAATATAGCTATTTTAGTCACTATAAAAATAAAAACTGCTGACTGCATAATGACTTGTGCCATTAGTGTGGTAGATCAGATGTATAAACCAATTTATAAGAAGTGGTTTACATAAATACATGTTATAAATGCCTCATATATGCAGTAGCCATATTATATCTGGCATTAGTGTACATAGCTATATTTCAGAGTATTGGATATAGCCTATGATATATCAAAAGCCATGCATAAATAGGTCAAATTTAAATGAGGTTCTATTGTACAAATGCTCCTCAACTTACAATGGGGTTATATCCCAGCAAACCAATCCTAATTGAAAATACCGTAATTCAAAATGCATTTAATACACCTAACCTACCGAACATCATAGCTTAGCCATGCCTACCTTAATAAACATGTTCAGAACACTTACACTAACCTACAGTTGGGCAAAATCATCTAACACAAAGCCTATTTTAAAATAAAGTGTTGAATATATCATGTAATTTATTGAACAATGTACTGAAAGTAAAAAACAGAATGGTTATATGGATACTCAAAGTTCGGTTGCTACTAAATACATATTGCCTTCGCACCATCATAAGGTCAAAATCCAAGCTGCACTATTTTAAATTGGGGACTGTATTTGATTTTCAGAATGAAATAATAGTGCTACTTCACTAAAGTTCTAAATATATCAGTTTTATTCAAAACACTGTTGAAGAGAAAGGTTAAGATTTGCCTTTTTTTTGTGGCATTATCAAAGTAAAATTCAAGGTATACTCTAAGATCACTTGGGATTACAAGTGCTTGGTTTTATAGGCTACGAACAACAACAACAAAATACCACTTAGGGCTGGCCAGTTAACTCAGTTGATTTACAGCATGGTGGATAACACCAAGGTCCAGGGTTTGATCCCTTTTTTTCCTTAGATTTTTTTTTTTTAATTTGTTTTTGGGGTTTTTTGGCAGCTGGCCGGTAACAGGGATCAAACCCTGGACCTTGGTGTTATCAACATCACAATCTAACCAACTGAGCTAACCAGCCAGCCCTTTGTTTGTAATATACTGTTTTTGGGGGGTGGGGGGTGGCTGGCTGGTACGGGGATCTGAACCCATGACCTTGGTGTTATAACACTGTGCTCTAATCAACTGAGCTAACCAACCAACCCCAAAAAACACTTTAGTGTAAAAAGGAGTGCCTTTCCTTACTGTAGTTTTACATATTAAGTCAAGAATTCCCAATTTCCACTGTTTCTTTACTGATATTGGTGGACCCCTCTCTTCTCAGTTCCTGTATCTTTCAGTTAAGGAGACTGGCACCTCCAGAAAAGTTTACTGTGATAAATAGGAGAAAAAGGTTGTGTCTATCCTCAGAAATGCGGCTGCACACTATTGAGCTTTTAAAAGGGCAATATTTAAAAATATTCCTATTTGTTTGTCACTACCATTTAAAAAGTAATCTCTTATTTTCAAATTGCCAATTACCTTTCTGAAGAATTGCTGTTAAGTGTTCACCTAGAAGTTGTTTTTCTACAGTAGCAATTAATGACTTCCTACAAGGAAAAAAAGTTTAGAATTATTGATATTTGAATTTCCTAAAAATTTAAAACCTCTCCTGGGGGAAAAAAAATCAAATCGCTCATTTTATGCTAATTTCGATATTCTTATCCTATGAATACATTTACTGGTGCTCAGAGTTACTCTACGCCTAGACAAAGGAAAGCATTGCATATTTCAGAATTTGACTTACATCCTGAAATAAATATCTCCACGGTCTTGCCATGGTTGGCTGTTTCTACGTTTCTCTGCTTTTATTAAGAAGGTAAAGTTATCTATACCACTTATAGGAACCCCTTGGTTAATAATATTTAGGAAAAGTACAGAAAGTTTCTCCTATGGACGCCTACTGATTTTTAATTGGCCTTAAGATTTTAAAGATCATCTCAGCCTCTAATACTATTTTCCAATTACATCCTAAATATACACACACAACCAGTAATCAAATCTTTGAATAAATCTAATTAACTAGGGAAAATAATAACTTGAAGTTTGCATTATGGAAACAAACTCTCAAATCCCACCTGAAAATAGTCACTAACATGTTTAGGATGCCTAAAGTGCCTTAAGTACTCTAACAACAGTTTAAGACTATTAAGCTGAGCATATAATACTTACTGGGTGGTCTGATCTAAGTAAGTAATAAGTCTGTCTGCTTCTTCTTCTAGACGTTTGTTAACATGATGAAGATATTCAGGAACCTACAAAGATAGTTTTTTTTTATTATTGTTTTCCTCCCCATAACTCATTCAGAAAATGTCAAGTCCAAAAGATCCTGGGAGCAGCCCTGTCAAATGTGACAGGGTTGAATCATATGTAAAATTATAGGTAGAGTTTATGATCCAGAATTCTGGCCTTTAAGAAGAAAGAAAAGAAAGGAGCACCTAAGTGAGAGAAGAGCATCGCAACGTTGGGAAGATAAATGCAAAGGGAAGCTTATGTTCTACAAAGTAAAGTCTACTGTAAAAGACAGTGGATTTATTAATTATGATTTTTAATACCTCTCTTTCTTGCATTAATTTTTGGCCTTCAGCTGCATAGAGCCGGTTAGTTTCTTCCAAAAATCGTTGTTCAAAAGAATCTTGATAAATCTGGGAGAGGGAACAAAGTAAAGGAGGCTCATTTATTCAATGTATATTTACTCAAAGTCCTCTATGTGAACAGCACATTGAATTGGTTTTTAAACATCAAACTAAGAATAGCAATCAGCTCTGTAGTAAGTGAAGTAGTAGTTAACTTACTTGCAAATCAGAGAGCATGCTTAAAAGGCTTCGGAGTAAACTTCTATCAATTGCTTCACCATTCCTTTCCCTCTCAATCAAGAGAAGAATGCCATCAATTGTCTTATTCTGGACTTTCTGGTCACTTATAATATGAGCCCTAAATAACTCCAATCCCATGTCCCTAAAATAAAAACATATACAATCTAAATTAACTGACAACAGTATCACTTCTGAAGAGACTTGCTTAACTTCTTACACATGTTAATTAGGGCTCCAGGCTTTGAAGCAATTGTAAAAGGATAAAATCCACACATTTAATTCTGAATAACATTATTAGATTAAAGCATAAAGGAAGTTCATTTTGTCTTTAATGAGAACTGAGGCTAAATTCCTGTCTTCCTGCATAACTAAGTTTTGTTGTATTACTTCCTCTGGTGGATTTCTTCCTTGGTCAAATCAAGAGACAAAATTAGTGCAATGACATAAAATAGTTTTCACTGTACTGGTAGTGAAAGCTTACTTGGTCATTTATCAACTGGCTTCAGTACTCAAAAATGAGTGTATTCTGATCACTGCTGTAGGCAGATGCCAGGCACATGGTGGAGGAAAGAGTTCATTAAATTGTACTATTCTATCTTCGTGTGTACACGAACTGTTCCATAATAATGTTAAGTGGGTTAACTCTTGATGACCAGCAACAAAATAATTCACACTCACAGATAATCCAAAGCAAACTTTAATCCCCTTGGCTAATAAAAAACTTCTTTCATAAATCAATATATGCTCATGAAATGTTACCTATCTTCAATATTAGCATAGTCAAAACATAATTAAAAAGTGGGCCGGCCTGTGGCTCACTCGGTAGAGTGCGGTGCTGATAACACCAAGGCCACGGG